TGGTCCCCTCCCCGCTCTCACCCAGGGCTTGCAGGACTTATTTGAGGCTTGGGGGACTTCTAGCCTGGAGGAAGCAAGCACCTGATGATGGCTGAGGGATGATGGCTGCCCTGCAGCAGATCTAGACCCTCTAAACTGCTCCTCTTCCACCTTGACGATAGCCATGGAGCTGTTGTACAAACTATACAACCCCTGAAAACCCTTCACGGCCAACTCATCGCATAGATGAGATCTTCCTGGACCTGCCATCCCAGGTCTCACCAGCACGATCACCAGTGCACGGTCACCAGCTGCACGGTGACCACCACACACACCTTGCCAAGCACCAGGGCTTCCTCCCATCCCTGCAGGCAAGCCAGACCCTCCTCCTCCTCCTCACTCCTGCAAAGCACCTGGTTTCATGAGGATTTTGGCCACCACAGTCCCAGCGCTGGCCTTAGATCCGTGCTGTGACCTGCCTGTGGACTCCCCAAATTCACACCTCACAGAGGTGCTGGGGGATGCCTCTCAGGGTCACCACAGGGTACGATGGGGACCCCGCTTCCTCTTCCTGCAGGACAAGAGGCTGGCTCTCCCGGCTCTCTCCAAGCAAGATGCTCTGCCACTCTGTCATCTAAATAAGCCACCATTCAAACCCAGTCATCAGCCTGCTTTATTGGGACAATAAAACCTATACTATCACGTTATATGTATAGATCCCTGTTTTACTGTAGTTACATATTTTATTGCTTTAATAAAAAGATGCGGGGTGTGGATTTGAGTGGTGCTTTACAAAGTTAATTTATATAAATTATAACACAGGGGTTCTTAACCATTCTTACTGATGTTCACAAAGCAAGCACTGACAAGGCCACCGCATCCTCGAGCATCACCCGTCAGCGGAGCCGGATGCCGCCTGTACAGTCACACAGCGCTGGTACTGCCGTGGTGCCAGCGGATAGGAGAGGGAGGCACACTGAGATAACACCACAAACTCTGCAGCCCCGCCGAGCTCACATGCCAAATGTGTAGAAAAATAGGCACCTCCCACATTGCTCACTGCAGAAAATAGTGGGAGCGAAGTGCTGCCTGCACCAGTGCCTGGCCCCATGCCTCCCAACCCTGTCCTCACCTGCCAGCTCGAGCAGACATGGACTATGCTCTTCTCCAACATTTCACAGGGTGTTTTTCTATAGGAAAAAGCAGGGGACTGCAGAAACGAGGGCAGAGGCACGTGGCTCGCTGCCCACCTTTGACTACCCATCGCCGCGTCTTACCTCATCCTTGTACTTGGTGATGTAGGAGTAGATCTCGTGCAGCGCGCTCATACTGTTGAACTGGCTGAGGTGTAACCGCGACTGCTCCGCCAGATACGCGCTCATGTCCTGGTCACTGATGGCTGGCATTTTAGCTATATCTGCATAATATCTGCAAGGGAGAAACACAAGAGTGGGTCTGATACAGGGACAGACAGCAGGGGATGGGTCCCCGCCACGACGAAAACCGGAGAGGCAAGGTGAAGAGCAGCCTGCTTCCAAGTGGTGATGTGCTGCGATCACCCATCATAACGCCGCTGCTCACGGTGAGGTCTCTGAGCTCTGGGAGAGGTCAGCATCAGCAGCAACACGCTGCCAAGGGAGCAGCACCAAGCTGCAGAGCAGGTGCTGAGCCCGGATCGTGCTGGGGAGCCCAGAGCTGCTGCTCAGAGGGGTTTTCCACTCTCTCCTAAACCACATGTTTTTCTTCCTTCCCATCCCATTGGTGTGTTTTGCCACCAAACCACATCCACCAGAATCCTCCACCTCTGCAGCAACACGTACGGCTTTGCTACCATTCTCCTAAGGCCGTGTGTCACTAAAAGCCAACAATGCGCCTTTGTGTTCGACTAAACACTTGGTGCTTGAACACAAAACGATTTCACATCCAGCCCTTGCAGCGATACACACCTGCGTGGTTACATCTTCCACAGCAACAGGCATTCAGCACAGCCTACGACTGATGCCAGCCATGCTCGGGAGCTACCATGCACCAAAAAGCTACGAGGTGCTTTAACTTTCAGTGAAAACGGAGGTTCTGCAGGCACATCGGTGAACTCCAAGGGTCCTGGGCCGCAGAGGAGGCAGCTGGTGTCTTGGCACATGCCTGGGTCAAGTGACTCGGTGCTTTCCTGCCTTCCTTCTGCTTCTCTGATGGTTGCTACCAGCAAGATTCTACCTTACATTTCCTAGGGCACCTTAAGATTTGCAGTCCCACCCCATAGCTGCCTCGCTGACATGCTCAGCAAATACAGGGAAACCCACACACAGCTTATATTGTGCAGAATCGTAGCAGAAAAACAGAATCTACTGCTCCCCAAAACCCAGGGAGATCAAAGCCTCAGCACCCCGTTGCAGCAGGAGGGTCACAGCAAGCAGACACACCAGACCGGCCGCTGAAGTCCTTTTGGAAGCTGGGGTTGTGTCCACAGCGCTCTATTGAAAAAGAAACCCTGCCCACAGCAAACAAGCCCTGGCCGCTCCCACCACCTGGAAATACAGAGTGCCAGGTTTGCTTTACTCCTCATGACTCCTCAAAGCACTCAGTGAAGTTTCTGGTACGGTGATTAGCATCATTAGCATCATCAGTCGAACGCTGAGGTGGAACACGGCTGAAGCACTTGGATCGGAGCAGATGGCAGCGAGACCACTTGAGGAGATGAATATGAGGATCCACTCCACCCCATGGCGCTGAGCTCAGCTAGCGATGAAGTACTTGGGCAGTTTTTACAAGAAGGCTCATTCACAGCCAAAAAAGGATGTGAGGTGAGGACCTCTGACCACACCAGACATCAAGAGATCCGCTATGCTGCTAGAGAGACCACCCCCAGAGGGATGTCTCCTAAAGCTGACAGTACTTCTACCCGTGATGAGGAATATTAGGGACAATAGGGCCAATGTTCTCAGTTCCACCCAGCTTTGATTAGCAAAGAAAACCCACAGAGGTCCTCCTGGCCACCTTCTAACCCCGTAGGTGAAGGCTCCTGTGGGGAAGGACTTGGGCGAAACCAACGGAGATCTGCTGAAGAAGAAAGCTTTGGGGCTGCCATGGCAAGATGTCCAGGTAACACGCAGCAGTATGATGTCCCAGGTTTTATGGTGACACAGAGGATGGCAGGAAAGCATCATTCTTCAATACAAGTGTGCATGGCTCGTGTGGTCCAAGATCCCAGTCCCACCCACCATTTCCAGAAGACACTACCACAGCCATGACGCAGCAGCAGTCCGCTTGGGTTTACCCAGGCTGCCCACCTCCGAAGCCCTTCACCGTGCTGTTCCTCCCTTGGCTGGCAGGATGCCCTTTTTGAGCTGGTCCCTGACCCGAGGCGGCAGACAGACCTGCCGCTGGGATCAGCGGTCCCACGCAGCCACCCTCGCATCGCTCCCATCCTGCCTCCACAAAGCTTTGCAGCAATAACCGTGCCAAAAGCCAGAAATGCTGATTGCGCCATAAATCCCCACAGCAGAGGAGCAGCGGGAGACGCAGTTGCACCCTGCACGGGGCAGCTCCCTGCAGAACCGTACGGGCGGTAAGCGACGGCAGAACATCTGTCACCGGTGAGATCTCCCACCTCCTCCCCAGGGACACAGCGTGTCTAGACCAATGTTTCACTCTGGAATGGTTTTATACCTTTTTTTTTTTTTTTTTTTTTAGGGACACACAGAGCCGAATATTTTTGTCATCGAGATGGCAAGGTCAGAGAAATTCACCTGATGAAGTTTGTGACGTTCCTACAGGACCCCACTCCAAAGCCCCCTCCAGCCCCTCGCAAAGAATTTTCTCCTCGTACAATGCAGCTCATCTCTCATCTCAGCCGGAGTATTTCAGGGGCATCTTTTCTTCTGATCCAAGCCCTGCCTTCCTCGAGGCAAGAAGCTTGCCTTTGTACCTGCCTGCAAAGCACCAGGCATGCCAATGTGCAACAACAATAACTGCGTACAAGTGAGCAGCCAAAGGACGGTTTGAGCTACAAAGCCCCACGCTTGCAAACCAGAGTGTGTGATGCTTGTTGTTGCCTGGACATCTTTCATTTGGTTCATTCTGCATCCCATCTAGATGATGAAAAGGGGAATGGTCCTCAGTTGAAAAGAAAAAAAGAGCATCATCTATAGCACAGCGTATCAACACAAGGGGAAAGTGCCATCAGCAACCTGAAATCCAGCATTTTTGAAGCTTGATGAAGTCCCACTTTGCCACACAGTAACATCTTAACAGTAGCTCTACTTGGAGGGCTTAGGAGGTTTCTGTCCCAAAAGGATAAAGCTAAACACAGCGTTATGCCTGAGCGCATCAATTTGCAATCAGCAGCATTCAAACCCTGAGCATTTAACACTGCGTTAATTCAGCGGGACAGGGGGATGTCTCTCATCAGCTAACGGTGAACGCGGAGGGTGTCGGAAGGAGTCAGGGGAGCTGCTCCTCGGCACAGCGACAGCAGCCGGAGCGCTGCCTCAGAGCACAAGCTCTCATCAGGATCCTGAGCGAGATGGAGAGACGGATGAGAGATGGGAAACAGCAATTTTCAACCATTTCAGCAAAACCGGCGTGTATTGTCACGGTACAAAAAAGGCACTTCTCTAGTCCAAGGCTGACTTCATGCTGCTCCTCGAAAGCAATCAAGGGACGTGTTAGCAATTCCCTAGCACAGACCCACTTTTTACAACAGAAAACATCAGACAAGCCAGAAGAGCAGGTTGCCGTTAGCACACCTTAAGCAAGTCATTGCAAACTCATTCCAGGAGATAATCACAAGAAAGCCTCACCTCCCAGACACGGTCCCTCTTCAGACAGCCGCCAAGAGGAGTCCTCCCCACACCCACCTACACCCACTGTAAATCCTTCAGGCTATTGCCTTCAGGAGCTATTGCCAAGTCTACTCACCTTTCTACCCAGCTCTTGTAGTTGGGGATGTCCTTGGCGTACAGTAGTTTGTTGGAGGGAGAGTCTTTTCCTAGCTTGTGCTCAGAAGTTGAGCAGGAGTCCATGAATGTCTGAGCCACCACGGATAGGCAGGCATCAGTAATACTGTTCTTGTGAATGTCGAACACAAACTGGGGGTTCTTAATCACATTCACCCAAAAACGTAGAGGTAGACTGAGGGAAGAAGGGAACAGGAGTCAGCACCTGAACCGAGCCCTGCAGGGCAGCCAGCACACACTTCTCCAGCTGCCGAGGAGGAGCTCCCCGTGACCCAGAACCAGGCAGGATGCTTTTCCCAGCATCCCAGGGATGCAAACAACCTGGGCAAACAGCCATTCCCCTCTGCCCACCCGACACGGTCACAGCTCTCCATGGAGAAATTCCTCAGCACTGCCAACGTCTCCAAAGGCAAACCGGGGCAGCGCAGGTCTGCGGTTTTCCCAAGGATCGGCTCACGCTGAAGAGCCCTTGCTGAGCGCACGGTCACGCCAGGCACGGTCCCCTTCTCTTCCAACAATGAGCCTGTCTGCGGCGCCGTGTGGCATTTCACACATCTCCCGTCTCGGAGGAGGGGGTTAACTGGACTCCTCAAGGGACTCATTAGCACATTTAACACCAGAGAAGAATTTAGGCATCCTTGAATGCTGGAAATGAAGCTCTCAGCTGTAGAGGCAGCGGGTCTCCAGGCCAGCCACCGCCTGGATGTTTGCTGCATCCTGACACACGTGCCACCCCCGTGGCTCCATTTCCCAATCCTGCTGCCCCTCTCCTCTCCCAGCAGCATCTCAGAGCCTCCCCCCATCAGAAAGCCTCTCTGCTCCGTCATACCTCAGCACCAACACCCAGTGAACGCTTTTATCTTTGGCAAAACACACTTCGTTCCCCAGGACTTTCCTAATGAGGGTACCGGGTGCATGTACATATTTCATTTGTGAAGGGAACGGCCTCAAGAAATTAGCTCCACACATTGAATTAGCGCCCAGAGATAAGCACAGGCATTAGTATGCAGGAGCCTGCATGCCCAGCCCCTGTGGAGCGGGGCTTTTTTTCCTCCTTTGCCTTTTGCTCCTTCTTTTAATATAGAAAGCTGAGTTATAAATCAGTTCCGAGCACTTCCGCGCTCCCACATCTCCATTTAAAAATGTTTCTTTTCCTGCCCTGCTAATTGCCAACAGTTACTGAACTATACAAAAGCAATTTGGCTGCCATTTAACAAATGCCAGACACGGGAATGTACGTACCCAGCTCCAGTAACGGCAAGATCAGAGATGAAATCAGTGAGGCAGCAGAAAAGAAAAATGCAAGGGGGGGATGTGGAGCAGGAGCCAACACCTGCTCACGCCCTGGCTCCAGCAGGGTACTTACGAGGTCTCATCAGCCGCTCCGCCCCGCTTTTCAGAGAGCGATAAGCAGAGCCGGGCGGCTCCGCAGGCGAGGTTAGGGAGGATGCACACATGGCTTTACACCGACTTTGTCAGGGCACGCTCCGCTGAGCGACGGGAGGGAGCACGGAAACACCTTTAGGACAGTGGAGATAAGAATCGGGGCTGGCATCTCCGGAGGAGCCCAGGGGACCGAGAAGCCCGAGCAGTGTTTGCTGAAGGTGCGATGGGAACAGAGCCGCTGTGGTCCTCAGGACCCGTGCGGTCAGGGGAGCGGGGCTCTGGGGATGCAGGGCTGAGGGAGCACTACATTCCTGGAATGTTTTCTGCTGCAGGAAGGCATGCGAGGGATTTACCCACCCCTGAAATACAGAGATATGGGCCTCTCTTGTCCTGGATCATTTCCAGAGACATATTTCTGCTCCCTGTGGGAGGGGGAGGAAGTATCATTAGCTGTGATATCATTAGCCCCCCCGCCCCGTCCCACTGCCCTCTTCCTTACCAGTTACTCTTCCAGGTGTGTCTGACATCGTAATCATTGATCTGATGCTTATCAGCTTGTTCATCCAGGAAATCAAACATGTATTTGATGGCGAGGGGCAGCGCGCTCCCACGATGTGCTGTGCTGAAGATGGTCTCAAACAGGTCGTCCACGAATTTCTGCAGGGTGCCCTGGGAGCAGAGAGACAGGAGGGTGGCTCAGCAACTCCCCGCACCAGCAAAGAGAAGAGCCTTCAGCTGAAGGTCAGCCTTTAAACCGGTTTCACTCATATTCCTACGACCTGGAAGAGCAGCACAGCGCAGCCTGCGCAATTCTACTGGTTCTCAGTGGTTTATACTGGGAAACAGATAGTGCAGTGATATCTCCTTCACTACATGATCTGGCAAGCTAAAAGCATACAAATGAAAACACCATATAGAGTAAAACCCAAGCAGATGTACATCCTGTCATGGGCTTTATCTGGGTCCCATTAAGGTAGTCCAGACCTGATGACAAACGTCGCTGAATGAGCCCTTGTCCCATGAGGCAGGAGCCAAGTCCTGAGCCAGGACCTTCAGCACAGCCCTCCGCTCCTCTCTGGGGACATCTCGGACGCACAGCATCCCCTTGGCACTAGGGAAGGTTTTGTATGTGCTGGGGGAAGGGGAACCCAGTGGGATGCCAAATATCCCGGGTCATTACGCTTCCCACATCCCTGATTTCACAGCTTCATCCCAAACACCAACGGGGATGAGGGGGATGAGGCACCTGCCCCAGGGCACCTCTGCTTGCAGCCCAGCAGCTGCTCAAGGACACAGGCAACAGGAAAAATGCCTCAGGGTGCAAAAAGCATATAGGAAAATCCACTCAAGGGATATTCACTGAAGATTCCGACACACGAAAACATCACCTCCAGCTCAGGAAAGCCCAGAGATGAACAGAGTAGCTCCTCCTGTGCTGAAACAGAAGGCTATTAAAAAAGCGATCTTACCACTTTGGACAACCCAAATCACTACCCCTCCCCATCCAGATCTGAAAAAAGCCAGGCAGCAGCTCTGTGTCTCTGTGCCATACCTTGGTGGCTAACAGGCGGGTCAAGTAGATTTCGGAGACCATCTTGCTTCCCCGGTCGCCCTCCCGCTGGTCCATGTGGTCGTGGTTTTTCACCAGGTGCCAGAGCTTGGTGCCACTCTCCAGGTCAGGGGTGATCATGGGGGTCCGCGAGCGCAGGCTGTCGGGGCTGCTGGCTGTCCGCAGCATGCTCTCTGCAGGCACCGAGCACAGGGGGACACTCGGACCATGCCCACCACCGCCTGGCCACCAGCCCCATCGTCCCCCTTCCCTCCACGCATCACGCCCATGAAACCAGAATTTCGGATCCAGCCCCTGCAGCCGCCATGGACTGGGAGCTCTGCTGGGACCATCCTCCCAGCCTGCCGGGCTCTGTGCAAGCCTGGCTGATGCACAGGGGCCAGGACCATCGTGGGAGGGATTCTGCAGAGGCCTGTCCTGCTCCCAGCGCGCAGGTACCAGGATCACAGATGCCTCCTGCGTTGGTCTGAGCTGACCACACTATTCCCTTCCCAACCAAGGCTGAAGCGCACTGGCCAGCACGTTCGCTGTAGTTCTCAACTCTGCTCATTTAAGCACAGAGTGCCTCTGTGCCTATTTTAATTAGATTTCAGGGGAATAAAAGAGAGGGCATCCCTTAGCAGCAGCCATCTGACACGTGTCTTGCTCCCCTGAGTCTGACATATTGCAAAGAGAGATGGCTCCGAGGGCATCTGCTCCCTCTCTGCCACCAGAACAAACAGCACGGTGCAGGAGAGCCAGGGGTTTGGAGGACCTTGTTCACGTGAGCCACAGTTACAATCACCTGCCCTGTGCCTTGGTCTGCAAGCCCAGCCCGGCGCTGCCTCCCCTGCCAGCACAGCGGAGGGTGCCCCTGCGCGCTCACCATATCTGCTGAGGGACTTGGTGAAGGTGGAGGAGTTGGAGATGTTGTACGCTGAGTTCTGCTTGGGCACCAGCGCTACCGAGGAGCCATCCGTCACCTGGGGGCAGAGATAGCGTGAGCGGGCTGTCACACCGGAGAGGCACAGGAGGAACAGAAACCAGCCCAGGAGGGATGAAGCTGCACTGCACCCCACCCCAGGGACATCCATCTCCTGCGAAGGAGACCTACACGTCCACCCCTGCGACCGATCAGGGGCAGCAGCCGGACCAGGAACACAGCAGAAACCTTGTCGTGAAAATGGCAAAGTGAGGTCAGAGCAGGGAACAGCCCCGATGAGTCCTGAAGATGTCCCATTTAGTGCTCCCTCAAACGGAAGGGCCATAAACACGGGGACCATGCAGGAACGTGACTGCAGAGCTCCTGGCCATGCACCTGCACGAGCAGCATGGTCTGGAGAGCGGAGCCCTGGCCCTGACCAAGCCGAACAGGGAGAAGAGATGCTTAAGCTCAAAGCAGCTGGGGACCACTTGGTGCTCTCCACCGCAGCCAGCCTCACCTGGTAGTGGGCCAAGGTGTTCAGCCTCTTCCAGTCATTGTCGATCTTTGTGGTGACATCTTCGTCCTGCAGTATGATCCGGGCCATTCTGCCCTGCCGCCACTCTGTCCGCAGGAGGGAGAAGGGCTCATGGTTAGTGAGGGGCTTGGAGCATAAAGCCAAGGCGAGGGTAGGAGCACAGTCTGGGCATCGACAGGATTACCCTCCCACCACTTTCTGAACCCCAGGACCAATGATTGTCAATATGGTGTTGGGCAAAAGCAGTTCCTAAGAACTTAAGGAACGACAGCATCAGTTTGACCCTGGCAACCATCTCCTTCGCTCCTCTCCTCTTCATTCTCCTGCCCATCCTCTAAGAACAGGACTATTAACGCTGTTCTCAACTATTGCTGACCTCCCTGGACCCCAGCCACCTTATCCTGCAATCCAGACCCCAGCGAGAGCCGAGGAGGCTCCTCTCCCCATCCTCCCTACCGGCAGGACCCATGATCTCATGCCAGGGGTCCCCACACACACCCAGTGCCACCAGCACAGCAAAAGTGGACTGCACAAGCACAAATGCTCTGGTTCCACCAGTTCCTCTCTCTTGTAGGAATATGGATTTTCCTGCCTTGAACAGGTTTTTTGGCATTTCTGCTCTTGGTCACATCCCTGCTCCCCACAGGGAAGTGCTTGGTCTCTCGCTTACCCAGGTCCATGTCTCCAGCTTTGGGGCGCTGGGAATAGGGCACCCCCTTGTAGACAGCGTCCAGCAGCTTCTCCTTCACCTGCGTGATGGTGTCACAGTTCAGGACCTTGACGGGGATCTCCGGGGCGTTCTCATTCTCGGGGTTCACGCAGTTGAGGGTCTGCACAGCACAGGGGGGGCAGAAAGACTCAAGTGAGAGGATGTGACACACTGGCTGCAAAACTGCATATTTATTTGTGTGACAGTGTCATATAAGGGAATTGAAGGAAAATAATGTGAAATAAAATTGAGTGTTTTACTTACACACTTTAAGCCAGACGTTTACACTGGCTTATTCATGATCATGTTCATTATTGTATTTATTTTGCATCGATTATTCATAATGATTGACTATGAATGTCTTCCTGTTTAGATTTTATGAATGGTTAATCCCTTACAGTCCTCTCTCATCTGTAATTTTGTCTTTTTGCTGTGACACACAGGGCTACAGCTGCCTGCAGCCCATGCCTTCTCACCGCCTGGGCTGCTGCAGAGGTGCAGCCACGTGGCTTATTCCTGCTCCTCCTTTCTCTCCCAATCCCCAAATCTCCAGCTATTCCTAGAAACGGTGTCAGTGAAGGAACCGTGGGCCAGCAAACCATGCCCAGCTCACAGAAACCTGGCTAGCCCAAGGGATGCCTGTGCATGGTCCACACCCCTCCCAACCCCACCCCGGGGGAGAGGGAGGTGGGGGAGAACCAGGCGGGCTCAGCAGGGGAAGGGCCTGACTCCTCACTCGGCTGGGCAGAGGGGATGGCTCGTACGGAGGAGGAGAAGCACTGCATCTCCTGCAGCTGTCTCATGGCTGGATCCCCACCCAACATGAGCCGCTGGCTGCTCCAGGTAGCACATACTCAACAGCATCTCTGTCCCCACGTCTGTCCGGGCCATGGGGTTTGTTGGGAGAGAGGATTCCTCATGCCTGGCTTTCTCAGCTCCGTGGCGAGAGCAAACCTTGCCATGCACGGGCCCCAGAGCTGACCCTAGCTGAGATGGGTGACACACCGACAGGGTGAGAGGCACCCCAGGGACACTGGAGAGAAGAACAAGAGGCAAACCACTCTCTGCATTGTACTCTGTGCCTCCAAGACCTTGTTAAACAGCTGGACCTGGTCCTGGCTGTACCAGTACCGCTGGAGGCTCCCGCAGGCACTAACCAGCATTTTGTAGTCGATCTGCTGCCGGATAAGCTTGTCTTCACTGAGGGAGTACCGAGCCTCTCCCGTGATGGCATCGATGGGGCCCTTCTCCATCTGCTGCTTGATGGCGCAGTAGAGCATGAACAGCGGTTCCCCGGCACACTCCTGCAGGACAGGGGATGGAGAAGGGGGGGAGAGAGGGGTGAGACAGTGCCAGGAACCACCTTTGCCTTTCAACAACCGCCACCATGTCAGGAGCCTCCTCTGTCCCCACAGCATCAAGCCCCACACATGACTTTACAGTCTTCAGCCCTTGCTCAAGACAGCAAGGAAGGAGGCACATGGTAAAAGTCATCCCATGGAGGAGCTCATTCTCTTTGTTCAAGCCTGCTGGAGGTTGTTCCCTTGTTCATCAACCCGTAGGCTCAGCTTCCAGAGTTTCCAGTGAATTCTGCTCATTCTACAAGCCAAAAATGAGCTAAAAAGGTTAAATTCAGGGCTAGAGAACAGCAGGTTGGGTCTGGGGACTTTGTGTATGGGATACAGCCTCTGTTTTGAGCCAGCCCAGCCAAGAGAAGCACCTGCGGACTGGAAAGGGCATGCTGCAGCGGGACAGAACGGTGGCTCTTGCCCAGGGATGGTGATGCAGTTCTGGCATCTGCCAGGAGCCCAGTCTCGCATGAGAGACAGTCAAAGGAAGTTTCTCCAGATGACAGCTGGGCACAGCCAGCCAGATCCACTGGGAAGGAAAAGCAAGAGAGCAACTCTCTGACAACCCTGCCCTGAGTCTCCAGCTGATGGAGGGGACGAGGCAATGACATCTCCTACAGTGAAACCATTTGCCACCTACATGTCCCCATGGTCACATCCCTATATCAGAGCCAGCTCTAGCCACCAGCCAGAGCCACATCAGCATCCACCTCCTGGGTGGGAGGAAGGGAGAGGGCAACCTCCCCGGAAGATGCTGGAACTGCAGCGACCCAGAACAGCACCAGACCCGCAAGGCTGGAGGCACCAACAAGCCTGGAGCCATGAGCTGGCCCAGGAGGGCTGGAAGTGGACCCCCCCTTTATCACCCGGGGCCCAAATCTCTCCCCTGAGCTGCATCCCAGTGAGTCCTTCCAGATACAGGCATTAGCCCTAAGGGCAAAAAAAGGGTATGATGGGGGCAGAGAGGATGGGGAAAGTCCCAGCAGATTTTACCCCACCAGCCTTTGTCCCTCCCTCCCGGCCGCCTCACAAATAAATTGTACTTTGGTGCAAAGTGCGGCTGCTCTCCCTGTCACCATATGCTGTTAGCATCTCGTTAGCATCTGCGGTAATTAAAGAGACAGCTGCTAACGAGCAGGAACAGGCATACATCATCCCCAGACCTTCCGACAACATGCCTGTCTTTGAAATTATGTTTCATTTGCAAACTTGGCTTCATTAAGTCAGCTTGGAAAAATGAGAGACCCAAGGTGGGTGCTACGCCACACGTTACTGGCTGCCCGGTGAGGCGGGAGCGCCAGGCTGGCTGCAGAGCTGTGAGCTACCCGGGGCTCCCACGGCACCCCAAACCCACCCCTCCAGCTGTGGCAGAAAGACTGGGAGCTGCTTCTTTCAGCCAATTGTAAAATCTCCTTGTAAAACTTCCAAGTCTGCGGACATGGTGTGGATGGAGGACAGCCTGGAGCAGGACTGCTCACATCTGGCACGGCTGCTCCTGTCTCAGCCCAGATTTCCCCTCTCCAGGTGAGGCAGTTTCTGCCCTCCCCCATCTGCAGCTCTGCGCCCACATCTAGGGATCCCCACCACGAAAAGTGGGTTCAGTCCTTCTCACATGGACAGCCTGTTTGTACCCCACGCCTGGCGGCATTGCCTCCTCCACTGCTCGGACACCAGCTGGGCTGATGGGGAATAAATCGCTTTTTGGATGCGTGGGTGAGCGCTGACCCTACAGCCTCCCCGGAGGGATGGAGGGATCAGCAGTTCTGGTGATGGGGACGTCACCCCTCCAGCACCCTGCGGGTTTTCAGGGGATCCTGCATGCCCAGGGATCGTTTCGTGGATTCTGGTCTCCTTCTGACCTGTCGGGCACCCTAATGTCAACTGAAACAGCCCCTCTGCCCTGTCCCCCTGACTCTGCATCCTCCGTGTCACAGCCTGGCTTCCCCACCTGTCCTCAATGTGAGTCCTGCCCTTAAAATCCAAAACCTCACTCCCAACCTCACTTTTCCCACCGGCTCTTGAGAACCTGGGCCAAGATGCTGCGGTGGGTCAGCTCACGGAGCCACTACCCATGAGGACAGTGTAGGGCTCGTCCCTGACAGAGACCACCGAAATGAGCAGGGACCGCAGAAACCATGGCTGGGCAGTGCCCCGGAGATGATCTCCATCGGGTGAGATACAGGAGGGGACCAGCAGCCTGCCCCCCGAACACGGCTGTGCCCACGCTGCCAGCCCTGACGCCGTTTGCTGGGGCCTGAGCAAGGGGGAGTTTGGGGGGGTTCTGTGCGAGGCGAGCTGGAGGAGGGTGACTGCAAACACACCCACGCATGGCACATCCATGAGCAGGCTGAGGCGAGCCAGCTAATGCTCAAACTGTCTTATTGACTAGATCTAGCTCATCAGGCACCTAATATCGTGCATTTTTCAGCACTTGTCTTGATCTATCCCTCTCCCTTTCCCCAGGGTGTCTCATTAAGAATCTGATAAATGCTACTACAGGGTCCCATGAAAGCACCAGCCCACCGGCCCTGGGCAGGGGGTCTGTCCCATCCCTGGCCCCATCCCATCACAGCCGGGCAATGCTGAGCACCTCACCCTGCTCTGCGCAGGTTTGCCGAGAGCCGACCTGGCAGCTGGGAGCAGGTCCGCCTGCCTCATTTACATGCACGATTACCGCGGTTTGGTGCAAGGCATATGTTTCCCTGCCGGCAAACTGCTGTGATACCTCTGCATCTACTCCTTGGGTTTCTCCTGCTTTTGATGCCATCTGTGACCCTCAGCACTGGGAGAGAGGCAGGAATGGCCCCGTGAGTCTCCGCTGGTGGGGCTGACCCAGGAGAGGCCATGGGCACATCTTCAAGCCTCTTCCAGCCTAACCCAAGTGATCAACCACTTCCCCAGGGAGACGATCTCCAGCGCAGCCATCTCACGGCCAGCGGGTTTATCCAAGCCCTCGGCATATGTTCCCCCTATAACGCTCTATCTAGATCAGACTTCTCTCTCCTGCTGCTGCCACCGAGAGACTGAAAGCAATTTCCACTGCCAAAGCCACGGCTTAGCCAAGGACTTTGCAAAAAGGCATTGCCCTGGTCCCATCCCCACGTCTCTCCCTCCTACTGCTCCTCATCCTCAGACCTGCCCTGCACTGGCAATGCACCCGGCAGCCTCTCTGAAGGGCTGTACGAGGACAGATGCAGGACAGCGGTGGCACAAGAACTGCTCCAAAGCAGCTTCTGAACGAGGTGAATGTGCCTCCGTGACCTGTCCACACGGCTCAGCCCAGCCAGTGACAGGCCAAGGGCATCAGGTCACACACACGAATGTAACGTCCCCAAACGCGGCTGTGGGTGTTGGAAGGCTGTGCACCATGTTTTGCTCAGACAAATCACAACCTTCTCCACCTCATGGAGCCCTGAGGGAGTTTATCCACAGCGAGAGCTACTCCTGCCTGTCCCACTGACCCCATGAAGCCCGAAGAGCCATCTGTTGGTGTTGTCCTACCTGATCCCACCAGATCCCACCAGGCATGTCCTACCAGATCCCACCAGGTACGTCCTATCTGACCCCATTGGTCACGTCCTACCTGATCCCACCAGATACATCCTACCTGATCCCACCGGGCACGTCCCACCTGACCCCACCAGGCAAGTCCTACCTGACCCCCACCAGGCACTGCCACTGCAGTGGGAGGGTGACCCCTCTGAGCAAAGCCCTGGCGCAAAGAGGTGTCAGGAGGTTTGACATCTCCCCATGAACAGCACAGCTTTCCCCCCCTCCCACCCCTGGCAAGCAATCTCCGCCGCATGCTACAGCTAGATTTTTATAGATACAGGCTATCCCTCGACGAAGGCAAAAAGCCAAGTGCACGTAAGCGATATTATAAATCACCTCTCGTTGACGATCATTTGAGTTCTGCACAGACTCCTGCTCGTGCTCATCTCTTGGCTGGAAATGGTTCAAACCCTCTTTATCTTAATGAGGGATGGAATCCCACAAAAACGGCTGCGTGCCACCCAGCCTCGGTGTGCTGATACCAGGCAGGATCCCAAGAAACAGCTCTGCTGACTGACAAACCAGCGGCAGGACTGCAGGCACCACTCACCCCACTGGTGCCATCCTGAAGCAGCAGCAGGATGGAGCCGGGGG